TTTGTATGATGCAATTTTTTCAGTGTACTGATTCAGTAAATTGAATTGAAATCCTGTCGCAGACGAATTTTAGCTTAAAATCTATTTTTAATCCTGGGTTAAAGTACCTATATGATAAAAAATACGAATTTGAATAAATGTATAATATATGTATTAAGGTGCTTTTTTTCAGGACTATTTTTATTTTTTCGCTTCCAACTCAAAATCTCGTTGAAAATGTTCAACAAAAAAAATTCGCTGAAAATTTGAGCCTCTAATATTAATTCAAAGCGTATAAAGATTTCCCATTTAAAATACACGTAAACTTATTTTTTTTTAAATATCTATATCTCAGCAGCATTTTATACTATTGGATTGTTTCAAAAAGGGATTTACTCGTAATCAAAAGTTCTACAAAAATGCTTTATGTGCCATAGCTGTAATCTGCACCTGTAGGATGGTACGGGTCACTAAATCTTATTTTCGTGAAAAATTCTCATATTTTTGAAGATATTTCAAAAGTGACTGGACTCTTTGAAAAAATGTAAAGAACAAACTTGTAGAGAATTTAGTTTCTTTAAAAAAGGTTTTATCAGTTGAATACCTAGCTAAGATTGATATTTGTTGAGATATAAAGCGTTAACATTGAAAAAAGTTAGTTTTTAAGTGTGCCCCCCCCAGCCTCCTGCCCCCCAAATTAAGATATTTCAAATTAAAGTGGTACAATATTTAATTCACTGAAGTTTATCGACAAATTTCAAATTTTATTAAAAAATTTTAAGTATTACAGTTTTTATGCCAATTCAATTTTTTTTTAATTTAGTATACTATACTTTTATAAAAGAAATAATAAAATTTTAAATTTGTCGATAAACTTCAGTGAATTAAATATTTACCTCTTTAATTTGAATTATCCTAATTTGGAGGGGCAGGAGGCTGGGGGCACACTTAAAAACTATCTTTTTTTCGCAAACTTCAATTTAAATTCTGCTTGCGCAAAACTTGTCTATATAATGTCATTATAAACTCATATAAATTTGATGTGGGTCCCATGTCTAATAACTGAGATATGGATGTGCCCAAAATCCACCAGCCGCCACTGAACAAGATTACAAATATACTTGCCTTTAAATTGTCTTCCTTGGGTATTTTCGTAAATAAATATAATACATGTTTTACTAAATATCAATATTCTTTGATTGCAAATTAAAATCCCACATGTATTAACACAATAAACTCTTTTTACCAACAATAAAAAGAATAAAGAACAAATTAATAAATCTTAGACAACCCATTGATTTTTCCTTTTTAGTCCCAGTCAATCCAATACAGGTCAATTAATAAAAGACAATATAAAGATGATTTGTACATTTTATTGATTCAATTCAATATATTTTAAAAACACATTACACGACATGATTGTGCATTATTTTCTAAAGAAATACTGTACACAAGTGTGGCTTCAATTTTTTTACAACATAATTGTTTTACTTAGTGCCTACATTTATATAAATATCTTCTACTATTTACAAATGAAATTTGTTTCTATGATACAATTTTTTAAGTACACTGGTCAGAAATAGTTTTTAAGTGAAAATAAAAGAAGATTTTTACAATTGTCAAAAAATTTTGTTTTATTTTCTGCAACATTTAGACCAGCATTTCTTATTGCATTTACACCAATTTCTTTTAAAAGTGATTTTTATTAAATAACCCAAAAATAATTTTGACAATTTTTCCAAAAAATCTTCAACATAAAGCGTTTTAATTTTATAAAAACAATTTTACTTTTTTGTATACTATTATAAATTTTATACAATATTCTTTTAAAATTGCACACCAATTCATTTAGTATTTACTTTTTAAAATCTAATTATTAGGGTTACATACAATTCCAAATCTCTAGTACTGATATTACAAAAAATTCTAATATATTGAATATTATGTTTATACATGTTTACTCATACACCCTGTATAATAATAGAATATTTATTTATGTGGACTCTTATAAAATTTTAACGTTTCAATAATAGTAAAACAAGTCCAACAATACATAAACAGTTTGAATTTTATTTGATTATAATTTCTCGTATTCAAACATATACATACATCTTATTCACACTAATGGCCGTATGCACAAAGGGTAGTTAAAATTTGTTGGCACAACATTTTATTTGGCCAAAACATCTTGATTATCCTTTGTGCAAAGGGTCATAAATAACTTAAATAGGTTTCAGATATCACACATATATATATAAAGTCTTCTCGAAAACTATCTACATCTATACAATCTAACAATTCACGATATCACTACTATGCTGTGGCGACGGGCTTCGGAGGAAAATGTTTTGCTGTAAATTTTCATCAAAGAAAAATTTAAAACGTGGATAGGTATAACGTTTTAAATTTATTGTTTTGTTTGATTTTTTTTGTAAAACAAAAGTACTAAAAAATAGAAATTTGACATTCAAAAAATTAATAAAAGAAATTATTGAATATTTCTACAAAATTCAGCCGGTACGCAGAGATTATTTATTGATAAAATATTAAACTTTTAGTTTCAAATTAAAAATAATAATAATAATAAAATTAAAATAAATTTGTTATTGCAATTACAATATTTTTTGTCCTTTATTATTAAAAATGTTACCTAATCAAATATTAAAATAATGTTGTACCCAGTCGTAATTATTTTTTATTTGTTTTATTAATATATTTTTTAAACCAATGACAAAATCCAATATGTAAAATTACTTTTTGGAAATAAGTTATTATTTTTTCGTATGAGATACGAAAAATATATTTTTTATTAAAAATGTTACCTAATCAAATATTAAAATATTGTTGTACCCAGTCGTAATTATTTTTTATTTGTCTTATTAATATATTTTTTAAACCACTGACAAAATCCAATATGTAAAATTACTTTTTGGAAATAAGTTATTATTTTTTCGTATGAGATACGAAAAAAAATCACACGTATTTTTTATTTTAAAAATTGTTTATAGTTTTTTAAATTTTGGAACCGTTTGTAAATAAAACAAAATAAAATATAATTTCTAATGTTTGCATTCCATTTGGTAATTTTATTTTTATATCCTTAAATTTTGACAGTATTATCAAGTACTCCGTACGAAAAAAATAGCACCAAATTCAGAGCTATTTTTTATAAAATTTGCAAAAATGTTTACTTTAAATATTTAGAAAAAGAACCAATTGCGAATGTTTGCCAACAAACATTAGTTTGTTAAATTTTGTTCAAATTCGTATAAAGATGAATTTTTTAAAAAATATTTAAAAAAATCATATCGTTAACGGCAAATTTAACTTTAATTGACCCATGTGTACCTATTTGTTTTTTTATTTTGTTTAATTATTAGGATATTTTATTAAAAAATTGTGGGAAAAATTCGCAGAGAAGGTAGTAAAAATATGGTAGGACAAATTTTCAAAATCATACATTTTCAAAATTCAATTTAATTAAATTTGATTGTAGCAAGATTTTTTACATTTAGTATACATTTTTAAAAAAATCTTAAATCATAACTATTTTTCATATTTCGGGGGGGGGTCCAAACCTCCAAAACGTCGTACCATTTTTTAAATTTATGCTACTGAGATATATAAAATGGTAGGACAAACTTTTAAATTTTTAAAAATGTACGAAATTTATTTATTTCTTATTTTTATTATTATTATTTGACATTGCAACTCCTATCATTTTTCACATCCGTCATAACTAAAGTGACCAGATTCTGTCAAAAAATAGAGGGACATTTTGTATGAATTTACTTTAATTACAAAATGATACAATGCAAATTGTAAATTTGACGTTACTTAATTATTGTTGATTGTGTCATTTTTGTAATTAAGGCTAATTTACACAAAATGTCCCGTTATTTTTTGACAGAATCTGGTCACTTTAGTCATAACCTATTTAAGAAATCTGTCACCTGTCATTTTTGACAAAATTAAAAAGACAAATGTCAAAAGTTATAAGTAGGTTTCAAAAATTACATCTGATGGGTTATAATATTTCCGGAAAAATTGAGCCGACGAAAAATAATTGTGAAATTTTCAGAAAAATTGACTTTTGCATTTTTTCATTTTATTCAAAGGTTAATACAAAAAAATGCAAAAGGCAATATTTCTAAAAAATTTCAAAATTTTACATATACAATAATTGTACACTGATATTGAGAAAAAAGTAAATTTTCGACGCTGAATATAATCATAAAATAATATAATAATAATAATTATTTCTTTTATATTAATTCTGTAAGAATATTCTACCGGGTATCAAAAAACATATTCGGTGATGTATTCATAACTTTTGTTTTATGACACTTCGATTTATAAAATTATAATTTTGTAATTTATCTTTATAAATCATTCATTATTTTGTGATTGGATTTTCAATCGACTTCAACCGACAGTTTATTTTCTTAAATGTTTAGTTTTAATTTTTTTTCCTTTGAGAATTTGTTTTTTTTAATTCAAATATTGTTAGGTTGTTAATTCCTACTTTTTTTTAAATGTGTAAATTTTGCAAAAAATCAGTTTTTTTAAGTCCTGGGATAAAACAAAAAAATCAGTTTTTTCCAATTTTTCCTAGCTATGGCAGATGTGAAAAATCGTGGAAAAATTAAAAAAATTTATCATAAAATATCAATGTCGATTGTAAAAACTATAATAAGATTATATATGTTAAAATGTTTTTTGTTATTAAAACCTTATATTTTTATATTAACCATTTTTATGTCTAATTCTATATATTTCATTATTTATTATGTTATTATAGTTTTTACAGTCACAATAATATTTTATTATATATTTTTTTAAATTTTCTCTAATTTATTTGTCATATCTGTCATAGCTAGTGTCGAAAAAAAACGGAAAAATTGGGAAAACCTGTCTAATTTTTGAAACCAACATTTGTCCAGATATTTTCATTGATAAAAATTATAGCCAACCTTTCCTACCCATTCGCCCGCCACTCTACCCCCCACGGCCCCTCGTCACTACCACGCTCGCGTCTGCAGGGGCAGATACGTCCCGCATTGCTGCTGATAGTTCGTCTGCTGTCTGTAGGCCATGGCGAGGCCCCCGTTCGACATGCACTGCGTCTGCTGCTGCGGCTGGCAAGCGGGCGACTGCTGCGCCCGCCCGCCGCCCGCCTCGTTGTTGTTCGCGCCCGAGGACGTCTGGTTCTGGTTGCCGCCGCCCGAACAAGGTTTGCCGTCCTTGACTAGCACCGGGACTGCGACTCGGCGCGGCGATGAAGACGACTGAAACAAAGAGAAAAGTTTTTTAGCTAAAATGTTTCAATTTGTAAAATTACACATATTAACGATTTTGGACTAAAAAAATATTAAAAAAACAAAAGGCGATGAATGAAAATTTTAGGTTGTTTTATGCGTTTTTGATTAAAAAGTATTTTAAAAAATCGGTTTCAATATTAAAATAGAATGGTAATTTGTTCTGCATTTGCTTGTAAAAGTTATTAAAGGGTGGGCCATGTTTATGTTGAATTATAAAATAGCAATGAGAACAAGAAAAACTGATTTTTTTTCAACGAATTTTGCTTAATTTGATACAATGTTTCTTCCGATTAAGTATGGAAAATGATTTTATTTAAGTGGCCACCTCAGCTGGCTCGGCAGTAGCCCATCCTGGAACGCCAATTTTCGAGCACTTTGTCAAAAGTTAGCTGCTCCATTTAGGCAATTTGAGCTTGAATGTTTTGTTTTAAATGGTAAATAGGCTTTGTTACGGCGACGTGTGGATTTTCCGTGGCCCAAATCCTACAGTTTTGCTTGTTGACATAACCTCCGAGGTAAAAATGCGCCTTATCCACGTTGTGGATGGTCAAAGTGGTTTAACTCCTGAACAAGCTGGACTTTGCACGCAAACATATATGGCCGAGTTGTTGACATCTGCGCCGAGTTGATGTTGACGCGTTCATGCGTACATTTTCGGCCACAGCAGCGATTGCTTCAGGTGTACGTCTAGGACGAGCATGCGAAACATGTTTTATGTCCACCAGCATTCCATTTCTGCGCAATTTTTTGATCAAATTTGTAATACTTTGGTTTGACGGCGCCTCATTTCTTCCAAACGCAATTTTCTTGCCGTCTCTGCGATCACAGTCACATTCAAAGTAAGTTTTGAGTATTTCGAAACGTTGATCCAAATTTATTCGGTTCATATTTTGTAATCGGAAGGTTAAAACTAAACCACTGTCAACAATTCATGGCGCTTAAGTTGAAAGCTTCATTAATAGCACGTAGTTTAAAATTCAACTTATAGATTGCCCACCTTTTATAAGTGGCAAGAAATAGCCTTTCACAATGGCATTTATAATAATTATTAAATTATGCATAAAACTGTTCACAGCTTGGTTCACACTTTCCAACAATCTAATTAAGCGTGCACTCTTTTTCATTGTCTAGGGCAAAAGTAGTATTATAGAAATGACGTATTAGAAAAAAATATCAAAAATGATCGTATTCTTTCAAAAAGTTAATATTTCTACACATGAATTAAGTATTGAACTATAAACTCATTTTTATTGTAATTAATACCTACACCGAAAAAAATAAGTTGAGTTAACATTTGCCTAAATGTCATTTTTAAAAATGTTGTTTCAACAAAAAACCTATTGGATTAATCTATATTTTGGTGTTAAAGCAAAAGTCAGAGTTTGTTTGTCAAAGTTTATTTGTTCATTTGACAGTTTAAATATTAATTTAACATAAACTAATATTTTGAATTAAAATGTTTATCGTACTTTGATTTAATAGCTGGAATTTGTTGAATCAACTACTGAAATTTTTAGGATTACCTAAAAAAACTATTAAATTAACGTTTAGTTGCTCTTTAATCCAAAACTTTAAATTTGTTCATTTAACAAATTTAAAATGTTACTTTAAAATTTAAAATGTAAAATTTGCATTCATAAAATTGCCGAGAATGGCGCTTCGAACACTCACGCCACGTCATTAGACAATGACGTTTTCTTACATCTCGCCTTAGTTAGCTTACGATTAGGTGTATATAAGATGAGATATCTGTTTGTTTAAGGTGTGTTCCACAGTAGAACTTTTACTACACCATATTGCCCGACACTGTTAAGACCCTCAATACAGGGCGAAACAGTCTGTCGGTATTTGAAGTAGGTGGAACACATGATACAAAGATGTATCATGTGTGGAACACGCTCAAAACAAAAACTCTGGGCGAGGTGAAGGTTCAATTCTTTCTATTTATATATAATAATATATTATTTCCATAATTTTGTTTTGGATACCAACCTTTAAAGAATTTTACATTTTTAGAATGTTAATTTAACATTTTATTGGTGTTAAGTGAATATGCTAAAAAGGTTACCTGGACATTTCAAGAAATTTACCTTAACACCCTAAGAATGTTAAATTAACCAAATTAGCAGATTAGAACAAATATTCTTATTTTGTTCATTTGACTGTTATTTGTTGTTCAATTAAACAATACAATTTGACATTTTTAGATGGTTAAGTAAACGTGCAAAAACCATTGCTTGTATTTAAAGTGCATAAAGAGTTGAATTAATATTTTTTTTGTTGTTTCAACAGCTTATTTTTTTCATTGTAGTATGTGCAGGGTATTATTCAGGAGGATGAGATTTGCGTCTCGAGTCCCCAGACAAGATACTCAAAACATTCGAGTGAATAATGCGAATAATCTCGAGTGTAAATGATTTTCAAAAATAAATAAATAAAATCTGACATAACATTTTAAAACAGGTGTTATTTTCCATATATTCTTTTTTTTTTAATTTAGTTTTATAGCGAAATAATTATTGTACTCTACACTATAGGGTTTTAAAGTGTGAGAAAAAACTGGAAAAATTTGGGAAAACGGTTTTTTGCGTTTTTTCCAGGCCTTTTTTTTGTAAAATAAACACATTTTAAAAAAGTAGCAAACAACATCTTAACAATATTTTAATAAAAAAAAATCCTTTATTACGGAAAAAAATACAATAGTATTTTTTTCCGTAATAAAGGATTTTTTTTTATTAAAATATTGTTACTATAGTAAAAGAAAATATTGAAATATACTGTATATATAATAAATATACTGTCGGTTGGGTCTTATTTTCCAAAAAGGAGTCTATTGAAAATATCCAATTAAAAATATTGAATTAAAGTTAAATTACAAAATTATAATTTTTTTATAAATCAGTGTCAAAACGAAAATTATGCAGCACCAAATATGTTTTTTTGCAGCCCGTTATAATATTCTCACTGAATTAAAAATAAAAGGAATAATTATTTTATTGAATTAAATTGAATTAAAGTTAAATTACAACATTATAATTTTTTTTATAAATCAGTGTCAAAACGAAAATTATACAGCACCAAATATGTTTTTTTGCGGCCCGTTATAATATTCTCACTGAATTTAAATAAAAGGAATAATTATTTTATTCATATATTATATCACGAGAACTATGAATTTAATCGGTTAAACTAGGCTCAGTAGTTTTTTGTTTGGTTTTTCTTGGAAAATGTTGAATGCAATGGGTTTTATTTTTAATTATTTTGCATGAAACTATTTTCCAAAAAGAAAAATCAAATAAAAAACTTACTGAGCATAGTTTGACAGATTAAATTTATAGGTTGAGTGATATACGTCTAGATTATTTCTCGAATTAAAGGAAACTATTTAACAATTCATAAAATGTGTCAAAATTTATAAATATTTTAAAGAAAATTCCATTAATTTAAGGTATGTAATAGGTAATAATTGATATTTCGTAAACAAGATAACTTATTTTTTATTGTTTTAAAAAAAATGTTTGTTAAAACTTGTAAATAACACCATAAAATCGTAAACAAAAATCCAATATGGAGGCTAAAATTTAATCGCTGTTAAATAGTTCTAGTGATTTAATCGCTTATTTAAACGAAATTTATTCGAAAATTCAAGGCTCTTGATTGGTTCATATTATAACGAGGGAAATAATCATCATAATATTATAATAGGTATATCATATAAATATGATTATAATCAGCGTCGGAAATTTTCTCGATATCAGTGTACGGATATTATCCGAAAAAAATTGGAAATTTTCAGAAAAAGTGACTTTTGCAATCTTTTTTTGGAAAAAACGGGTTTTTTTCCGCCGGCTCAATTTTTCCGGAAAGTACAAATAATTGAGGTTATGTATCTGTCAGTTTAAAGCTAATTTCGTCTTATTATTAGTCTTATAGTAGCTACATAAAAACATTAATAAATATGTCATATGTAAAATAAACAAAAATAATAATTTCAAGATAGTTTATTACAATTTGTTTGGTTCAATTAATCTAACCGCTTAGTTCCAGCGATAATGCACGTGCTGATCAATCTGCAGACAGTCGGCCATGCCCACGTTCAACTAAAAATCTCGATGCATATCGCGGCCGTCCAATAAAACAATAGAGAGACGACGGCCATGGAAAAAACAGTTGAAGCGCTTCCGTCGGAAACGGCTGCCCGAGGAGGGTGCTCGGCCGGAGTTGATGTCGACAACGAGAATTAATGGTACTTCTCGGTACGCCATTATCTAATCATGTGATTTGCTCATTGTTTGATTGAGTTAGGAGTGATTGAGTGATTCGTTAGGGCCCTCGAGCATCGCGATGCCAGCGGCGGCTTTTTGTCGCCAGATCCGCATCTGCGGCAGGTCGGGGTGTCCGAGTGCCATTAACTTTTCGATTGTGTGGTGGTACTGCAGGATTATTTTAATTGATAAGTAATTAACAACCAATTATTTGCCTTTGTATTGACGATCTAGGCATGAGCGCAGTGCCGGTTTAACAGGGGTTTTTTGGGGACTATAGCACCGGGCGGTAAATATAAATAAAAAAAAATACTTAATCGTTAGAATTTAGAAAAAAAATTATTGTGACACTGCGTCGGCGGATACAACGGATACAAATGAGAAAAATGTTGTTAGAGTTAAAGCAGCTTCTCCATCAGAAAAACTTGATTTATTGGAAACGGAATAATTTAAACTTTTTGGATAGGGTTAATGAAACCAATAAAGCAGTCCAAAAACAAAATATGGATTTAAGCACAAATGCTCATCTTTTGTCATTTTTAGTTGAGAACTTTGATTTTTTACGTGATATCATTTTGATCATTAAGAGGAAATTAACAGGAAACAAAATTATGCTCAGAAGCGGATAATCATAAGAAAATTACAATTTGAAGAAAATAATTCAGAGGCAAGTTTAAGCAAAAAAGAAACAATGCGAACAAT